ACTCTGATGGGCATGGGCTGTTTACTTATGTCGAAAATAGAGATCTAGGTGTAACTGGATGTATTATGCTGAGGAATGATCTTCATCGTTGTAGATTGCACATTCAATTTTGAATTTTGATTAGATTTTGACATATGTGTGGTATGATAATGGCTTTTAAAATCACGTAAAAACAAGTACTACTTACTTGTAAAGTAACTTGAATCCTAACATATTCATTCGGTTAGACTGATTTGATCATTCAGTGAGATAATTTACTTATTCCCATTTAAACGTTTGTTCAACCATTTTTCAGAAACCACAATGGAATAAATGTATTTTTATAAGTGAGTTTAGTAATTTACACATTGGCATGACAACTAAAAAAAATCTTGCATTAGTTAATTTACCCAATTCACTCTATTTATTGAAGACAAAGTAAAAAGCCTCTTATACAGAGATCACCTACACATATTAATGTAGATAGGCGTTTTAATCTAGACACGACTTAATGGGAAAAAGTAAACTGTCCTTGAGCATGATCTTGTAGTTTGGTATCTTGAACTAGTTTTATTGTTCTGTTGCAGGCCAGAATTTTCCATTTTAATTCAGAAACAGTAGCATCTCCCTCTATGCAGTCGACTCTTTTCAAAGCAATATCTTGGTCAAAAAAATTTGGTGGACTGATATTCTTTGATTTGAATTTGTCACTGCCTCTATGGAAGTCACGTGATGAGACATTGAAAATTATCAAGGGAACCTGGGAACAAGCAGACATAATTGAAGTTTCAAGGGCAGAGCTAGAGTTTCTACTCGATGAAGTTTATTACGAATGGAGAAGACATAATAGGCCTGAATACTTTGCCGAGTCTTTTGAGCAAACCAGAAAGATTAGAGATTACTATCACTATACCCGTGAAGAAATAGCGCCGTTATGGCATGACCGTTTGAAGTTTTTGTTTGTGACGGATGGAACACTACGGATTCACTATTATACCCCTTCTTTTGATGGGGCTGTAGTTGGTACTGAAGATGTGCTTATAACACCATTCACCTGTGATAGAACTGGTTCTGGTGATGCAGTTGTTGCTGGAATAATGAGAAAACTTGTAACTGAGCCGGAGATGTTTACAAACAAAGATGTTTTGGAACGTCAGCTTAGATTCGCCATTGCTGCCGGGATAATATCTCAATGGACAATCGGAGCTGTTAGGGGGTTCCCTACTGAAAGTGCCACACAGAACCTGAAAGAACAAGTCTATGTGCCATCAATGTGGTAAAATTACTGTTGCATTGAATGTACATGAACTGATATTTTCTTAGCTTAGTGTTTACTATTCCCTCCATCTCAAATCAATGTGCCTCTTCACTTTCAATGGAACATTGTCCATTATCATATGTTTTTTATTATCTTCAATTTGATATTTAAATAGTGTATTTTTACTTTAGTTCATTGCGTTATATCTTGGAAGTGATTTCAAGTTGCTTTAATGTATGCAGACAAACAATTCTCCAATAAAAGATACAAGTATCTGTTCTAAAAGATGCATCGCTTTTTTATAAAACATTTTATATAAATTCATATAAATTGAATAGCTTAGTTTGGTGTCATCAACTAAATAGTTAGTTTTTTTCACTTAAAAGCTCCCTACACCCACAAGGCAAAGAAGAGGGTAACCCAAATTCATTTAAGCTTAACCGGGGGGAGGGGGGATTATCAATCAAGAAAAATCCAACAATAATCGAATCATAACAGTTATTCCTTGCCCCACATACATTCGGCCAATGTTGTTTTCCTGGAGCAATGCGATGCAATAAACCAGATATAATTATCATCCCTATTTATAAATACAGTAAAATCACATTCCTTGCCTCACATACGTTCGGCCAATGCTGTTTTCCCCATTTCCTGGAACAATGCGATGCAATAAACCAGATATAATTGTCATCCCTATTTATAAATAGGGTAAAATCACATTTAATCTTGCAAACTACTCTTCTCGAGCTATGTCATTCCTCACATGTATAATCCCATTTCCATTATGCTAAAATCGCATTCATTAACTCTACAATATACTTGAACTCCAACCCTACCCTAAAATCCCTAAATAGATATTCATCTTCTATGTCATTGCTATATGGTAATATGGATTATGGACCATCATTCACCTTAAGAGGTAGATTTATATCTTAGTTCTTTCATTTTTTTCATATACACCAATCTCGATATATATTCTTTTTTGGACTTTGTTTTTTACATGCATTTCAACCCATCGATTCTAAAAGCATAATGTACTTTTGTAGCAGTTCCATCAGTGAAATCATCATCAAACCCCCAAGCATTTCCTCGTCATTATCATGAAATCAAACTCATTTGCCCCATTCATATCTATTTAGTGTCACTTTCTTTAGAATCCTCATGAGCAGTTTCACCTCATATTTAGTGCTACTAATCTATTTCACATAAATATGAATTGAAGACTTCTTTTTGAAGAAAAAGTAAAAATATTTATATATATCCATGTCACATCCACCTAGTAGTCCCTTCATAAACATAAATCTTTTCGACCACAATAGAATATTATGGTTGTATCATACTCTCACTAGTTTAATTGCCTCAAAGTAACTTTATGTATGAAAATGAGGGTTTGTTCCATATACTGAGGCCCACTAAAATATAAACAAAATCGTCCAGGTAAGTAAAATATAACAAAATAATTCAATAAATAGGAGAGAACACAAGAGAAAATTGAAATCCGATTTTATGTTTTTCTCATATACCGTTTTTAATGAATTTAATGTGAGCATCATAAAAACGAAGAATTTACAAGGAAGAGAGTAGGGAATATTTTTTTGCTTAATTAAGTAATGTGTGACATGCTGACATGAATCTATTGAATGATGAAAAATAAGATAATTTTTTTTATCATCAAATAGATTGATGTCACACTTCAATTACACATGCACGTTAATTTATGATATGCACCTTTTCATTTCAAATCTTCTATCTTCTTTTATTGAATACGAAGTATAATTTTTCATTGTTGATTAGAGAGTTAGCTGCGCTTCTTCCATACATTATATTTGAGGTAACTTTGTCACATGGATAATAGTGATCAGATATTATGTGATCAGATATTTATCGTATCATTCAGAGTGAAATAATGGAGGCAAAGACTCACTACTTTTTGACTTGGAAATATTATGAAAGAAAGCAAAATGGTTCATTAATCTGTCTGCGCTACTTTTTGGCTACTGTTTGATTCATTAATTTGCTATGAAACAACAGTCAGTCCATGCAATATTCGACGTGATTTTCACTATGTGACACCCGGAAACAGTCTCTCTGTGCTGTAATGCAGGGGTAAGACTACGTATATCCGATTCCCCTTACCTCATCGTAGGTGGGTGTAATACTTGAGATTAAGTTAAACAGGACTAATGGTACTACTCATCCCAATAAGACTACGTGCATCTCCTTTTAAGGGAGTTCATTAGAGTACTCCAACTTAAGCGTGCTTGCACGAGAGTAGTATTAGGATGCGTGATTCCTAGGGCGTACATGAGTGAGTACAAAGTGCGCGTTTAATGCTAGTGGTGGTTTGTGAGGCTAGTACTAGAGGTCCAAATGGCATTCAAGAGTAACAACATCGGGGCGTGTGGGGCCGAGGTGTTACAGGTGGTATCAGAGCAACCCTGCGACAGTGTACTGATCTGTTGGATATTGGGCGCACACTTACCAAGGCAAGATTCCGGGGTTTGATTGAGATTGGTTTATGAGTGCAACAAGGGCGTTGGTTTACGGGGTGATTGTAATACTTGAGATTAATTCAAAGAGATTAATAGTACTACTCCATACCAACAAGCTGTATCTCCCTTTAAGGAAGCTCATTAGCTAAGAACTCTTTGCGGCAATGATGATCATTCAGAGTGAAATCTCTATTTATTTTCCATATGTTACCTCAGATTTAAAATTCTCATTGTAGAAAACAACATTTATCATTCCTTTTTAAGATGTAAATAACATTACATGCATAAACTATAGCACTATAAGTCTATAATATATACTTCGTATGTGGTTGTAATTCTCATAGCATAAAAAATACTCCCCCCGTCCCGCAAATAAGTTCCCACTTTCTTTATTTGGATGTCCCAAAAAGAAGTTTTCATTTTCTTAAATGGCAAGTTATCTACATCAAAATAGTGCCAAACAGTGCAAAACAATGTCAAACATTGTCAAACAGTGTCAAAACAGTATAATTTACACCCTAATAAGTTTATTTCCTTAATATGTGTGTAGGTCAAACCAGAAAATTAATCTTACATTGTCTGTGAGAGAGAATATAGTAGATTACAAATTAAATACAATACTCCGTATGATGTTATTTATACATAATTACATATACAAACATTCATTTCTCCTCCTCCCGTTGAACTAAAAAGCTTTCTTTTAAACAAGGCTAAAGGGTCAATAGGCCCTCAAACTAACTTAAAAAGTGCAATTCACCCCTTATATAGGAGGTTCTGTCCGGGCGTCGCCAATTGGGGCGATTCGCAATGGAATTTTTTGATGAATTTTTTTGAGCATCTTCTTCATTAAGTCTAGTTTACCCATACCAAATTTCAGATAAAATATCAATCGGGAAGGCAGTCAAATGATTATCTGAAATGTATTGCGCTGTATAATTGCGCAGTTATCTTCAAAAAATTCATTTGACTATCTTCCCGACTGAATTTCTAGCTGAGATTTGGTATGAGTAAATTAGAGTTAATGAAGAAGATGCTCAAAAAAATTCTTAAAAAAAATTCCACCGGGAACCGCCCCAATTGGCAACGGACGGACAAAGCCTCTTATATAAGGGGTGAATTGCACATTTTAAGTTAATTCGAGGGCCTATTTGACTCATTAGCCTTTAATTAAACAATTTAACCGAGAAAGCATGGGCGGGTCATTGTATAGGTATATGTTTGTGTTAAATTAATGTCCAGCCCATCCAAATAATTTCCAAAGCCCAGGCCTTCTGCCTTGCCCATAACCGTGCGTTTTACCTGTGACTGCGAGGGAAGCCTGCCGGTCCAGCCGTTCACCTGCGAAAACGATTACGCGAAGAAGCCCTTCGGTCTTGGAGTTGCGAACTGCGAAGTGCGGCAAGTGTCGTCCTGGCGCTGTTCGACCGGCGTCAACTTGCGCCTCTTCCCGCCGATAGTCCAGTCTCGCCCCTCGCACTCCAGCCTGCAGTGTCCACTCCCTCCAGATCCAGGAGTTTAGCTCTACAGGTATTACTCTTTTACGGTTTACCTAATTGATTAGATCCATGTAAAGGTACTAGTGTTGTATCTTTATTATTAACTACTACGTAATTGATTACCTAATTTATCATTATTTATCATTGATTACCTAAATTTGATTGTTTCGATATTACTCATCAATAACCGGCTTGATTTCGAAATTTGATTATTACTTGAAAATTTTAATTTGTAATAAAATGGTGTTTATTCATTATAATGATTAATGATATTATCAATTTAGTCCTTTTAATTTTAATACAACGCAGTATCATATACCATTGAAGATTAAAGAATGATTTATTTATTCATTGGGCATCTTAGAAAGAATTAAAATTTTAAATTCAATTTTTAAATTGGGAATTAGGTTGAAATGTTTAATGTACAATATAGTGTTAACTTAAACCCTATTATTAATTAACAATTGAGAGATATGGTGATAAAACCCCTAGTGTCGCCCTTCTTTGATTCTGGTATGCTGCTATCGGTTCTCTTTATGAAATCACGCCATGATTTCTCTCTCTTCTTCATTCATCCCGTGAAAGCGTGAACTGCGTGGGTCGGAGTGTGCATCAGCAGCAAGTGCTTCCTTAGTGTTTCAAATGTTCTTTTTATCTTGTCAATTTTGACAATGATTTTATGGGTAACTTCTTCTCCTGTCATTGATGTGAGATTCCACATGATGATATGCTATTGTTCACTTAATAATGGCGATCTTCCTATAGCCCTAAATATGTTTTTGTCAAAGGTCTTTATACTTCTCAACTAGTCTCTAGCACCCCCACCATCACCACCATGAGATGGAAGTGAATGGAAGTTTGAATTGCTAAGAAGTTTCAGTGGCATCTATGGGATTGGAAGTCTGTAGAAGATTTTTATGAGTCTAAAGGGTACACGATTGGAATAAATGTCATTCATTAGTGTTCACTTAGATGAGTGAGATCTGCACGTCCATAAAAATAAGGAGGAATCGCTACTTGGTTGGACAATGGCTGGACAATGATAGTTCGTTGCTACTTGCTACTTTGTATTTACATTTGCAATCTTGGTTTGTGGTATGGAGTTTCTTGTGTTTTAGTATTCTCAATGAGTTTTTGTTGTTCGTTTTGGATTTAGTAGAGATGTTGTTTCAAATTGGGATAAGAGCAAAGAGGCAGACATGGGCTCTTTAAGCATCTGTATACTCATTAATGGTTAGTGATTTTAATAGTGAGCTTCTGTCTAGGCTTAACACTTTTTTCTCGTTTCATTGTTGATACTTTTGTCATTTTAATATAAATATTTTATTCTACAAAAATCAGGTCCAATAAAAAAGTGCCCATTAATTAATCCTATTTTATTTAAGAACACAACAATTTCTAGTCTAGATATAAAGTTGATCACATGGAATATTAAAGGTGTCAGAGAAAGTTTTGGCATTAAAACTTTTTCACTTGTGCTGATGTCAATTGAATATTTAGGATGCTTTTATTTGGACTGTAATTTGCTGGTCTGGTCTGGTCATGTCTGGTTTCTTTGTATTTTTATAACTATACAGGTCTGGTCTGGTCTGAACTTGTCTGGTCTGGGACGAATTACAGTCCAAGTAAAAACATCCTTACTCTTTAGTACGAAGTATGTTTATTGTATCTCTCGAGTAATATTCTCCTTGCTGTCTTTATCCTCTATGATAGGAGGAAAAATAGATACATTAATTGTACTTAATATTCTAAATTGAATAGTTTAAAATTAGATTGTTCATATATAAAATTAGTATTCATTTTTATTATCAACTCCCAACATAATTACTGTCTGTTTCTGCACAACCACTAATCTACAGCCCTAAACACCTCACATTTGTTATTTAGGATAGGGAGGGAAAATGTTTTATCTTTGAAATTTATCAATTGAGAACCTAAAAAATAGGTTCATTATCAATAAAGGACTTGAAGGATAAGTTCACTAATATAGTTCACCCCCTATTCTGCCTGTACATAGGTAATTCGTCTAACAAGTGTACAGAAAGTTAAAAAAGGTGTGCAGCAAGCAGCTGTCACCCGGGAAAGATCTGGAATCAGGTGACGCGAGTTCCCATCAGAATCATATCTATTGTTGACCTCTGTCGTTCGTCTCCGCCCTTCCACAGTGAAAAGCCTCCAAAAACTGGTAAAGTCGCCGCAGCAAGGCACATAAACCAAATTAATCCGCACCGTGACACCCGTTCTCCGGCTTGCACTGCTTGACACTATTGGTAAATAAACCTCTATTTTAAACATTGAATCTTTCTCTTATACAGAAATAACGGCTAACACGACCGGAGACCGTGCCTATCCATGTCTCATCCACATGCATACCTGCCGTCTCAGTCATTGACCGTGTAACCTGTCTTTGATTTATTGGGTATTTATTGTCTTTTTAACAGGTTTGGAATTTTTTTATCTCAATTTTATTTTTCTCATGTAATACTTGGAAGTAAGATTTGCTGTGTAAAATTATCTGGCTTAGTTATCTGCTAACATACTATATCTCATTTTAATATAATTCTTTGTATTGAGAAAAGGAAGAAAGAATGATATCAACTGAGACTCATCCTCATTTCCTGCAGAGTTGTCTTACAATTGAAGCACTTTAGTTGAGTTGTGTAGGAAGGGAAGCCGATTTTTAAAGAAAGGTTCTGAATCATGCTTCAGATTAAGCTCAGAAAACCATCCGGTGAGGGTGGCGGTTCAACAAAGCAGCTACCTTCTGACAGCATTACTGTTGCATGTCCTGATCACCTTGTCTTAGCAGATCTTCCAGTTGCTAAGAGCCTTGGTTTGGCAAGTGGCACTGCTATTTTAAAACCTGTTGGTCGGAAATCCCGTCGTCAGCTTGGAGAGCGAGTTCATTTTTGTGTTCGTTGTGATTTTCCTATTGCCATCTATGGGCGTCTGGTGAGTCAAGTAGAAGCACACTTGTTTCTTTCTGACTTTTCTGTACTCCTCTTGAAGGGGTGTGCTAATTTCCCTCTTTGTCCCAACTGCATTAAAGGTGTGACCGTCTGAAAAAAAATTGTTCTGTGCAGAGCCCTTGCGAACATGCATTCTGTTTAGATTGTGCACGAAGTGATTCCCTCTGCTACCTGTAAGCTCAATTCCAATTTCTTTTCTATATGGGGGATATCTTCTCTGATTAATCGTCATTTTGTAAAAGTTAGCACTTACGGAGTACAACATTGTAAGAGTAGCCTTTTAGCCGTAAAAAGTTTAACTCTAAATATATCCTTTTTTCAAAGCATTACAGTGTTTAATGTGAGAATAGTTAATATGTGAAGATTTGAGATATTAGCTCAAAATATGCATTCTTATCCTAAATTGACAATAACTATGGAACTATTTAGTTGCTAAAGCATCTAATTTGGGAAAGATGGAACATGTGTTTTCTTTTGACCTGCATTAGTTTTGTGAGTGAGTAAAATAAAAGACACACTTTACTACCAAATTAAAGCTACATTTTAATGGTGAATTACAGGCTGGTGTAATCCACTGCTTTATTCCGCAATCATCTCCTTTTAACTATTGGCAAAAATATATGGAAAGCTAAATGCTGCTTGTTGTCACAATAATTTTTTCCCCACAGATGCGATGAACGCATTCAGAAGATTCAGACAATTAAGTTGATGGAGGGAATTTTCATCTGTGCGGCTCCTCACTGTCTTAAGTCCTTCCTGAAGAGAAATGAATTTGAGTCTCATATTCATGGAAACCATGCCGACCTTCTTCACTCAAGTGCAGGAAAAAATACTAATGCGTCAGACACTAGCAATGCTAGAAAACCTGCAGCATCAGAATCCACTGTACAAGCACCTCTCAGGTCTGCATTCTCTCCCAGTCCGGGCTCCCAGGCTTATGATCGCGAAGACAAAGGTCAGCATATGTCATCAAAACCACCTTCTACTGGAAAAATGCAGAACCATCAAACAGATCAGCCGGCTGATAGTAATCCTCCTCCAGGTTTTGAGAGGTCTGGTTCTCAGAATCAATTTTCTCAGCAGAATTTTGACTCACGGGGTGGGATGAGACAAGAACCTGGCCCATATCAAGACAAGCAACAAGGAGCTGTTGGGGGGTCTCCTTTTTCAGAATATTCTATCAACAATGCTGCTCCTCAACCTCATAATTTCATGCATGTTAATCCAAATCCAGTTATGCCCCCTCAATTCGGATATCCTCATTTTACACCTGAACCATTTTATAGTATTCCATATGATATGAGAAGGCCAGACTCGACTGCAGATGTTGGCTCAGAACAAGGATCATTACTGGGTTTCCCCCCAGGTCATGCTCGGCCATGGAGCATGTCGCGGGCTGCTGGCCCTTTTGATTCTCCAGCAGCTCATGGATTCATGGATGGTTTTCTTAATGCGCCCGAACAAGGAAGAAGTGCTTTCTTTCAAGGAAGTTCTGCAGCTTTGCCTCCAAATGGTCCTCCTGCCTCCCCTTCATCTAATAAAGGATTAGAGACTGGACATGGTGGATATTCTATGGATTCACGTGAAGCGAAGATTAATTTGACACAAACTATGCCTCTCCCGCCACCTCCTCCTTTGCCTCCCCATATGCACCAGCTTAAAAGAGGTAGATCATATTCAGGGGATGCTGAGTCATGATTCCAGGCAGGACTTCAGCTGACAACAAAACATCCTGATTGGTCTATCTGTTTTAATGTATTTCTTCTTTCAGTACCTGTTTATGTTTTTCTGGCTGATAGTGTTGTATTTGAAACTAACGAGTCTAATTAGTGATATATGTTGCAGAGTTCTGTCATGTTCTCAATTATTTAGTCACTTATATTGGTATAAAAAGTTCTTCATATATTACCCTTTTAGTCATTTACCATCCCAAAAAGCTTTTCATATTGAATAATTCACAAGGTTAAGGATGTTTTTAATTGGATTATAATTTTTTGGTTTGGTAGATGTCAGTTCTATATGTATTTTATACGAAGTAATAAGTCTGGGCAGGTCATGGAATGAAACTCCAATTTAAAAGTGTGATTTGTGTGAGCGGTGAGCCGAGTCATGATTCCATGCAGGACTTCAGCTCTTTTCCAAATTATTCTATTACACTTTTTTTCGGTTTCAAACTATTTCAAAGTTCTAAATACTTTGCTTGTTTGAATATTCCATCAAGTCCTTTAGTTTAGACACTCTTCTTTCACTTTTGTCCCTTTCAGGTCATATTTGTAATCTCATTTACTTTAATAAAAATTGTGTCAAATCCAATTATATCTTATTCTGAAGCAAGGTTTGAACAATGAACATCAGTGTGTAGACTGATAACAATAATAATAATTAAGATGGCAAAGAATAATTGAATCTTGATTCACTCAGTTTTCAGTATCTGTGCGAGCAGGGATTTTTGGTCCACCCAATAACTGGAAGTTGGTACCAATATATATTCAGAAACTTGTGCAAATAGACAAATTATCACTCATAGGAACACACACACAGGGGGGGGGGACCGATCTGGAGACAGGACCAAGATGAAAAACCAATGACCACCTCTCCTTAAAAAGCGACTATCGACAAAACCGAAGGAAAATGATTTCAAATACAAAATGAAAATTTAGTCAAATTTTGTGTCCACGATCCAATTTCGAATCTTGCAAGTAGTGCATTCAACATCCAATTTTAAATAAAAACTCTGCAATTTCCCGTATGTCATCCGTACATATTTGTCAATACGATCTTCATACTTCTCATAAAGTGCAGGTAATGTGAGCATAATGGCAACCCCTGCCACCAATGAAACATTCAATGAATCCTTGAAATTCATTCCAGCATCATAAATAAATCATAATGACAAAAATCTATGACTTGGAAACTTACCAGTATAACCCAAAGTGAGAAAATCTGTCATCACGCCAATGACTGAAACCAGCAACAGAACTGAGCCTACATTAATGAATAACATGGTGTCCCTGCCCATTGCAATATCCTCGAATGCAGAAAGCAATGTGTTAATATGGCCACAGATGAACATTGCTGCTTCTTTCACTCTTTCTTCTGAGATATGCAGATGTGGTATAGGTGGTGCAGGTCTGTTGCAAGACGTTCATAAAATAGTAAATACTAGCCAGGATATCTGCTTTGTATGTGACTGGCATTGTCTTCACAACATGTAACACTCTTTGTTGCAACACACGATGAGAACAAATTAAAAGAAATGGAAAAACATCATTATGTTAAGATTAGAAGTTCCATTATAAAAGGTCATTTTGTTAATTGGCTTGCATACCATACCATATTAGAATTCAGGATTCTATCTTCAAAGCTTAACTGGACAAAAGAAGTAGCTACATGTCTTATACACGAGCTTATCTTCATTACATTTTACACTATAAACAGGCAAGTATCATATCAATCATGAACTAATATAGTTATGGGTGAACAGAAAGTGTAATGGCGTTGTTACAATTTTTGTTTTAGGATCCCTGCACTTTTCCCCCCAAAATCTTTTGGATTAAGGCTTGGATGTTGTTGTTGGTATCCCTGCACTTTTTTGTAATTGATATTCTTTTCTTTTTAGCCCTCCTCTAACCTTCTGTGTTTAAAAATAATAATTAATCTGGCACAAATGCTATTGCAAGCTTTCTGTGCCGGCTTTTTAAAACTTTTTGGATGCTATTACTTGATAAAACTATACCAAACTTATCATTGATGCTCTCAATATTGGTTCCCATTGCTCTCTTCCCAAAAAAATGTGAAGTATCTTTTGAATTAGTTGACTTGAAAAAGAATGATTGAAATTATGTTGGCCATACTAATTTTGGTTTTAAAAGGAGGTTGTTATGTTGGCCATAACAATTTACCGCATAGAGATGAAACACAAAAAAAAGATGATTCTAAAGACTAAAGAGACCGTAAACACAAACTCTAAATGTACGGAGACTAAAACCATATTTAAACCAAATTTAAAAAATGCATCAAATATGTCCAGTGTGTAAACCCAGTAAATAGTTTTATAACTGTAATTTTCTAAAAAGAAAGCCACAAACATCAAGATCGTTCCAAATCCTACCTCTTTAGGACTGCAGCTGATTTTGCCCACAAAAAAAGAATTCCAAGCAGAAGCAGGAAAACACTTGAAGTTAAAGACAGAAGAGTATAGCCTGATCTTTCAAACACAACCCAAGAAAACAATGTAATTGCTAGGATCCCCTCTGACACATTTTTTCTCCTCCACAGTATCACATCAGCAACTGTTTTTTGTTTGAAGAAAAAGATATCACAAACATCAATAATTACCCCATCCACTAAGTTCAGCTTGGGAGTTGGTTGATAAAAATGTATGGAATATATAACATAATTAGTGTTTGTTAGGTAACCCATTTTTGGCTTAACAGCCAGATTTTATTATAAACTCTAATTTTTTTTATTTTCTGAAATGAAGTGTATAATGATTCAAATAAGCGAGGCCAAAGGTATTTTTTTGCCCGAATTGATCTAATTTGAGGAAAGGGGAAATTTTAGCATTTTCATAGAGAGCATAATTTCTTTAATTGTCAATCAAATATATTTGACACACTTTGTTTTTAGTCCCTGCAATTTTTTTTTGTTTTCCATCCCTGTAATATGCACTATTTTGTTTTTAGTTCGTCTCTAATTCCGAAACCACTCTACTTACAAACAAAAAATGCGAGTTGCATAAATCTACTTGAAATATTTACATTTGTCCTTTTATAAAAACATTTAGGCTAATATGAGAGTTAAAACAATGTAAAACTACGTATTCACATTTTCAAAATATATATTAAAAACCTTCTAAAATTTAATACTTTTTGAATGACATCACAAAGAATTAGAGGAAATATATTATTCGGGGTTATTTTGAGGTCAACCTGAGGTTGTTATCATCGGTGATGGACTAAACAGAAAACCAAAATAAATTGCAGGGACGAAAAACAAAAAAAAAAAATTGCAGGGATGTAAAGCAAAATGTACTATATTTGTAGGGGCTAAAAACATATTTAAACCATATAAGTATCCCATAGTTCAAGAGATTCAGCCAGAGTTTCAGCATATTCTTCCAATCTTAATCCTATGTACAGACTATTAGGCTCTTAGAGAGAAAACAAAACAAAACTGCAACCTCCCTTTGAAGATATAGTCATATAGATAAGTGTTCAAAATCCTCTTGTAAATCCCTCCATCCAAACAGACCCTAAATTAACAATTAAAAGAAAACGCCTAACAGCTAACTTTTACTGAACTATGCAGGATTACAGACTAGTAGGTCACCAGAAACAAACAGGTTTTTATTTACTTACTGCAGATCAGAAGTATTTCAAGATTAACTTATATCATGATGAAGCAAAGTTATTGATTGAACAAGAATTATACACAGACTAGCATAGGCAGTTCATAATTTGGATCTAAAACCCAAAACAGTGAAATTGAGAAGACTGACTCACCAAGACCTCCTCCAAGGATCTGATGAAGACTTCTCTGCCTATTAAACAGCCGATCTGATGATCCCATTTTGAGAAACTTGGATGAAGGGCCTTCTGATTTCATTTGAAGCAGAGGGGGAAAAACTCACTTACAGCTTTGATATCAGCTGCAGTTTATCTGCAGTGAGGAATAAGATTCAGAGAAAGGTGAGGTATAGGCTTATGGTGTATCTACTTGAATTGGAAGATTTGAGAAGGGGAGAGATAGTGGGAAGCAGGCCACCCTAAAAGCTTGAAAATCTACTCATACAATATACATGTCTTTTTATTCCCTTCCCTCCATTTTTTTTCTTTTAGATCTTTACCTCTCTGCCCCTCATTGAGGTTGTTGAGCTAATCCTGTCAGTTTGAATTTTCTTTTTTTGGGAGCCTTTGGAATGCATAGATTTGTTAAGGGAGAATTTGAGTTTGCACCTCATGTTTTGGGTGATATTTTACTTTGCATCTCATTTTTAAAATCATTAATGTATGCACCCCATTAGCCCAAAAATTGTGAAGGAGTAGGGTGCAAAGTGAAATGATTTTATAGTGAATTAGGGTGCATACATTAATGATTTTGAAAGTAGGGTGCAAAGTCAAATTCTCCCATTTGTTAAATATCTTGGACTAAAATTACTTCAAATTCAAAAGTAAATAGTTGTGTTGGATAAAGTACAACATTTTTATTTTAGCAATATAAGACTACTAAAAGAGTTTTTATCAAAAATATTACTGAAAGAAAATTTATTTACAAAAATATAATACTGAGTAACAAATTATTATAGTACTATGTAGAATGTTATAATCATTTAAGTATAAAAATTGAATATAAATTATTGTGATTATAGTTACAACTATAGGTACTACACTTAATAAGTTACGTTTTTATAAACAACTTTTATTTAAGTCATAAACATGTAATTATTTTCTAAAACTATCACTTCAATTTCATTTCATTTTATTTATTTCTTTAGTTAAACAACAAAATATCCATGTTTGTAAACTACTAGTAAAAATTTATAGAGACGTTGCATTCAGAGCAATGCCCATTTACAGGACTAGTTTCTTCTATCCTGAAAGAAAAAGTTTTTGCATAAATATTACTGAAATATATTTATGGATAAAAATACAATTATTGCTACAATACATAGTCACTCACACACTAGTCACTATAGTGTACTCTTGAATATAATTATGGTCACTAACATTACTACTTATTATATTAGTCACTAATATATAAAATGACATGTTTTATCCACTAATTTTATTTCGATTATTAATTTATCATTATTTTAAAGAAAGAAAGAAGCATAATAACTACGTATTATTTTTTTTATAAAAGTAGGGGTAATACAAGGAAAATCACAAGTGGGATGATTTTTGGACACATGAAGTATTGAACTTGGGTGTAGCATTATTATATGTTTATAAAGTT